TACTGCCAAGGGCCTTCCACCAGGCACTGGGAGCCACAGCTCCTGCTCTCCCAGTGGAAGCACCAAGGCAGACTACACAGTGTTGTGCCATGATACAATTTTATGGTTATTCCTGAAAAGGGAAAGGAACAGTGGAAAAAATTTCATCAATTTTTACCTAATAGCCAGTTAGATTGCTTCCATCCATCCATCCATCCATCCATGCACCCATCCATCCATCAATCTAGCTTCCCAGTTAATTTTGCAGTTAATTTGAAATAGCTCAGGCTTTGGGATCAGGGAAAGTTCCTTAACTTGCTGTACCTCAGTTTCCCTATCTGTCAAGTGGAAAGAATGGTAACTGTTCAGTGATGTTGTTGTAAGGATTAGGATATGTGAGTGGGTGACAGTGGACCTATGGACCCATCCCTGACTTTACTTGCTGAGAACACACTTCTCTAGGGCTTATTTTAGCAACTTCAGAGACCAAAGCATCAGTGACTTTCTCCGCAAACATAATCCCCACTAATAAACATTTATCTCTAGAATCCGAGTGCCAAGAATTAAATACAAGGTCCTCTTTCTTACTGCATCAACTCAAGTTACTCAACCTCTTCACATTTCTATAAAAATATAAAAAAAGCTCCCTTCTATACAACGAGGCTAATAACAGCACCTAACCCACAGAGCTGGCATAAGGATTGAATGTAATCATGGGTAGAAAGTAGGTAGCACATTGCCTAGCATAGAGTAAGCAATTCAGATAAATCATCATTCGCATTTTCCTCCCATGAAGCCAAACACATTGTCAACATTCCTCTTTTCACAATGACCTAAAAATCTTAAAGTCTGTGGGCACTTCTCTTTCTCTAACTGATAAACCAGCAGCATCTTGAGGGCAACAGCAGAGCCACCAAGCAGTTTGGTGAGGGGGTTAAGTGATTTTGTGAGAATTTAGTGAAAGCTGTATTCAGCTGCCTGGGTGCACCTTTATGACTAGACCATTTGGGGGGATAAGGACAGGGCAACATTTAGCCAGGCAGGACTTGAATATTAGCAGAGACGGGCCAAAAAGCCACGTCTTCATTAGTTGGAGTAAAAAGGATCTCAAATAATGTTCAAGAAGAGCGTTCAATGCTCTCCACCACTTACCAAGATTCACTGTGAGCTGAGTTCCCTTCCCAAATGTGAGCTTGGTAGCACCAGTTTGCTGAACACTGTGCTGAGAGGCTTTGCAAAAACCTATGGCATCACCTTAATGAACCCAGCTTTGCAGAGCTTCCCAAGAACTAAAATTTTCCTTCAACTTCCAAGTCTCCAAGACAAGATGTATGATGGTGTTTTTCCTTCTGGTAGCCCAGAATTTCAGGGCTGAGAGGCGTGTTTAGAAATGTGATTGCCACTTTAAGACACCAGCAGGCTCAGCAAGACAGTTCTCTATACATATTCTGTGGTCCAGCAATTGCAAAGCTGATGCAATCTATCATAGAATATGAACTCCCACTGGGAAAGAAATTAGCTTGGCAGAATTTATAGGTAGTGTTTGATGGTCATAGTCATTGTCTGAAGACAAGATCAGCATTTTCGTTTTGACTTTTTCCATCCCTGCCTCAGTCTGCAGATGGCTGCCTCGTCCCTCTAATATTAATTTCCACTGTTGTCCCTACTTCAGCTAGATTTTTTTCCCCAGTGGGCATGCAATGATTTTTATTTCCCTTTAGAACTCCGAGTTTTGTTTTGAGCTCATTAAGTCTTGGATAGAGTTGCTTGGGGTGCAAGTGAAGCTGCCATGGCCAAAGACCATGATGTTTTCGCACCTTTGGGTCTGGCCTGGTCAGAGCCATGAGCCATCTTGGCTTTGCCCAGGACCAGGTTCAGGCTCAGCTGTGTGACCTTGACCAAGTTCCCAAACCAATCTGAGTTTCACTGTCCTCATTTGCAAAATTAATGAAATGAGTTAGGGGATCTTTAAGGACTTTTCTGAGCTGATAGTCTTTGACTTGATTCTCTGGGTCTAATTTATCTAAAACTGCTGTGCAAATGTTTTCCTTCCCAAGGTGTCTTGTTCTCCTCCCCATTTCTTAAACAGAATAAAACAAATAAGCAAACAAAAGAAAAGTACATTTCTACTTATTATACAGGGAAATAGAGTTTTTCAAGCCCACCATCTGCCTTCACATTTGATCTTTTGAGAAGTTTGAAGTCAGGATTTTGGAACCAAATCCTCAGGGAGAAGTGCTCTTTCTTTGGAGCTTCCAGATAATTAAAAAACCAAACCAAATAAACCAACACCTTTGGTTTAAAGCTAGTACTTACTAAATTTCACTGTCACTTCAGTCCCCCTTCCAAATGTAAATTTCCTATTTCCTTCCTTTCCACAGCAGCTGATGCCTTTACATAAACTACAGGCTCTTGCTTACCCACAGGAAAGGTAGGTTTGATGTTACAGCCTTTTCTCACTGAGAAAAGGAATTCATCATCCAGCTAAGAGTTTCATCTCTCTGATGGCCAGGTGTTAGATAACAGAGGGGGTTCTGCTAATGAGAAGTCTGAATGGAGGTACTCACCCAGGCTTACAATTAACTGAGTCCCCTTCCCAAAGTTGGGTTTCTCAGGGCCTTTTACTAAAAAGTTCCTCTTAAGGCTGAGCTGTGACTTCCTCTTCTCAGACCACAGCCTGTCTCTAGTGTGATTAAGGGCACCACTGAGGGCCAGCTTCATGAGCAAGGTCATTTAGGATTGCCTTTTTCTACTAATGCAACCCAGGACTCAGGCCATGAGGAGAGAGGACAGACCATGTCAGGATGGCCCAAAGCTCTTCTCTGGCTTCACAGGCATTTGAGACCCCCATATCCTGAATACCTACAGGCCACTTCTTGCCACCCACCCTGCTGTACAGATCTATAAAAACCTTAATGCCTGGTGGTCCACTGCTGGTTTTGACCTGTAGCAGGGAAGGAGACCCCCGTGGCCATCAAGTATACGAGGAATGTCAGGCCCCCCTTTTTCATTATTGGAAAGACAAAAAGTGCCACTTCTCCTTTGTTGGCTGCTGGGAACCTAATTTCAGAGATGTATGATTCTTGAAAAGCTTTTCCCCCCTGGACTTTACAAATCAGCTCAAGGAAACATACAATCGGGAAGACGAACCTGCCCTACAAAATAATGAGATACCTGCTAAAGCCAATCGTAAAATAACATTTTTGATTACCTGGTGTTTTAGATTATCCTTGCGTTGTGCACATCCTTTTTTCCTGAAGCTAAGCGACTTACTCAGGGTCATAGTTAACCGCACCTGGGTCTCAAAGATAAATCGGTTGTTATGCATCCAGTCTCTGGCCCACTGACCAAACCCTCTCCTCCCTTAGGCAATGACCATGACTCCTCAGAAACTGGCCCAATTGATTCCTGGGAAAAAACCACACCATTTAATAAATATTTGTTAAATTGAATGTATTAAACATTCATCTTTTGTTCCTATTCCTTAAGGAACACTTGAATATCTCTCTGACAATTTCCAGATGAAAAAAAAAATTAATTCTGCCAGTTATTACTTGCTGAGTTTCACGATTCCTCTAGTCTAGGCTCCAAATGTCAGTTTCGTATTAACCCCGTTCCCACAGGAGTAAACACCTTTACAAAAACCAGAAGCGTCAGCATGGTTGAAAGGGATGTGGCGTCAACTTTGTTCTCTTTCCTCACTAAGGCTGAGACACCAGTCTGTCTGTCCCCCACAGGTGCCTATCTTCCCTGGGAAAGGTCTGCCCTTCTCTCTTTCAGAGCAGAGATAGGAGGGAGCAGAGAAGATTTCAAGTTGAAGATGATAAATAAGATATCAAAATGCTATCACACTATGTGGAGACTTCTTTTTCTTCTGCTTCTTTTTTTTTTTTTTGGCCAAATTGATGTTTTTTCTAAAGGCTGTTTTCAGCACTTTCTCTCTCCCAAATGCAATAATAACTGGATTCCAAGTTGGCATCTGGGCATGAACCTCCAGGCTCTGATGAGTCACACATATTGAATCAAGAAATTATGCTTATTCTCCAATCTTGAAGGAGCATGTTTTGCTTTCCCCCTTGCTGGGCAATGAGGAGTTGAAGCAACACCCACAGGGGGATATAAACTAATAACTCTCAGATCAGATTTGTAACTTTATACATTAGTATCCTAGAATGCAAGACCTGGGAGGTCTAGAATGCAACTGCCTGGGCCAATGCCCTTATTTTGAAGATGAAGGAGCTGAAGTCCTCAGGAGTACATTTGTTCAAGGTCATGTAGGTATATAGAGGCAGAGCTGGGGCTAGAGCTCAGGACACCTGAGTCCCAGACCTGTTTTCTGCTGCTCCCTTCATGTGACTCAGGAAACCAAGGACCTTCCCTGGTAGTCCCCGTCCCTAGAGGCCCCAGTGGCCAGCCCAAGTATGATTTATTCCTGTTAAAAAGTACTCCATTCAAGGGAGGTGTTTGGTGTTGGTGCATAGTTTACGATTTTTAGAGAGAGAGATGTAGAACATCTTAATTAATTTTTAACATTGTATCTCTTAGGCTGCAGGCAAACAGTAATTGATAGTGGGGGAAATGGCTCATGAAGTCTCAGGGGAGAGCAACGGAAAGATAGAGATTTAAAAAATTTGCCCTTTACCAAAAGGGTAATCCAACAGACAGTTGGCTCTGATTATTCTTTCTCTGCGGGACTTATTACAGGACTGACATCTAGAGCAGGGATAGATAGTAAATGCAAAACGGTGTGGTGTTACCTCCTGCTTCTGCTCCCATGGCAGATAGTGCTAATAGACATATCACTCTTTTCCTGAGTCTAGATGTGGTTTCACAGTCCTTTTTAACAATGTGCTCCAGATGGCCACCAGCAATTGCAAGCCTTGGGAAGTGAGATATAATCTGTTAGCCCTCCCTGCCCTGGGGAACGATTGGAGAGGAGACCCTGTAGAAGGCTCGAGAAATCTGATTGGCAAGAGTTAACCCAGGTCCCACACAACCCCATCATGAAAGGCATCACTGACCTGGTTGGACCAAGACTCTTCTTTCCACAGGCTGTTCCAGGGGTGGCAACAGCAACACCATGGAGTATCGGGTTTTCTTCACAGTTTCCCTTCAAACTCCGGCTTTGCAGAGGGCATTGGGCCACAAACGATGGCAGGTTTCTCATTCTCGTTCTTGCCCAAAGAGCTTTCAGCAAGATCTTTCCCCAAAACAGAGGTCCTGGGGATGGGAGACGACTGCTGGGCCTCGATCTCTCCCTGGCATGTTTCTTGATATCCATCAACCCAGGTCTTGGAATGGAATGCAGCACAGGAAGAAAGTGATGCAGAAACCCTTTCTCGAGACCACTCACTCGCATTCATTACTGCACATTCAGATATTTCTAAGCTTTTCCCTTTTAATCATTTCTATTCTTTCATGAAAAAGAGATGCACTTGTTCATATTCATCCAAAGAAATTTCCCGATGTCCTTTACTATTGTGTCAAGTTTTTTGTTGACAGGAGAATGTTCATCTACCCTTTTAGGGTGCTGTCTCATATCCTCAAAGATAGTCCTTTAGAGTGACTGGGGAGGATGGGCCCTTTGGGCCAACAGAGAAGCAGCTGCCAGTCTCAGGGTTGAAAGGGCAATGGGAACAGAGGCAGCAGCTTTGTATGACTTAAGTTGTGAACAAAGAATATTTTCCTCCCTGACCTATTTTCTGTCAACATCCAGTATGACTTATTTATGGAGGTGAGCTAATTAGAGCAGCAGAGGGCGCTGCAAGGTCAAAAACAAAGCTGCCCACCTCAAAGGAACCTGGGAGAAAAGTCCCTTTTCTGAGTGAGTCGTGATCAAGATCCAAGCTGTGGGACAAGAGTGGCCTTGTTTACAGAATCCCTTGGACCCCACCAGGTTCAAGGGCCCCTCTCGAGTGGTGGTTTTTGGGCACTGAAAGGCAGTCCAGGGCACTCACTGCCTTGGCGAGCTGCTCAGGCTGCTAATGTCAGTAGGTTTAAGGGAGATGGGGTAGACAAATTCAAGGGCAACCAGTCTGTAACAGGTCATTTAGTCTTGAGAGTCTCTCTTATCTGAAACTTTGGGGTCCACTTGGTCTGTATATTGTGGTCTCTCATGAACAAGCCTCTTGCAACTTTTGGAAGACATAGAACAGTGGGCTAGAAGGTGCAGTTCTCATGATCCCAATGCTGTTAGGGACTTGGGAAGAGCACAGCTGGCTCAGGTTTCAGGAGCACAGAGACCTGTGACATGCTTGCAGCACTGACAGTAAATTAAAGATGTGGGTCACTTTATGATTAACACAACACGTCTTTTGCCAGATTTTACAACTTCATTTTTTAGATGTACTTAGCATCTCCCCTTTGAACATTGTTGATGAGAATAAAGCTCTCAGGAACTCTATTAATCAGTGTATTAAAAAAAAACCCCAACAACAGCAACAGCAATGCCAAACATTCCTAGATCATTTGTTGGGTGCATTGCATGTGGTTTTTTTTTTCTCCTTTAATTTTATTGGGGAATAGCCATGATCATTGGCCATGATCATATTGCTTTCATGCCACAATGGCATAGCTGACTCTCATTGGGGACTGAACCGGCAACCTTGGTGTTATTAGCACCATGCTCCAGCCAACTGAGCTAACCAGTCACTCCCAAGCATGTGTTATTTCATTTGATTTTCCAACACTCCTGTTTAAAAGCTATTATTATTATCTCCATTTTACAGATGGAGAAATGGAAGCTTGAAAGAATTCAGTCATGTTTAATGTTACACAGAAAGTAAATGCTGGATCTGGTATGAAGACAAGCAGTGCTCCAGAACCCAACATTTTTAATTTACAAAATTGTATTTTTAATTTCTTCCACCTTTATTGAGATATAATTGACATATAACAACGTGTAAATTTGAGGTGTTCCATGTATTGATTTGATACACTTATGCATTGCAAAATGACTACTATCATAGCATTAGCTGACACCTTTATCGTGCCACATAATTGCCATTTCTTTTTTTGTGGTAAGAACATTTAAGATCGCCTCTCTTAGCAACTGTGAAATTCATAATACAGTATTATTAAGTATAATAACTATGCTGTATGCTAGATCCCCAGATCTTGTTAATTGTGTAACTGGAAGTTTATACCCTTGGACCAAAATCTCTCCCTCTACCCCTCCCCCATTCCTGGCAACCTCCAATCTACTCTCCGTTTCTATGACAGAACCTCACTCTTAGCCATGATACTGAGCTGTTGTTCTGAGAGGTGCCTTTCCTGAATGGGTGCCATTTAAGGAGTGTTGAAAGGACACCATGGTGGGGAGAGTCATGATTCTGCCACCTCAAGGAGGACTCAGTGTCTGAACATGCCATGTGGAGCATTTGGGGGAGGGATGTCCATCGAGTGACGATGTCTGACGCCCTCTTCTCTGTTCTTAGATGTGGTCAGATGTGATTGAGGTGGGGCAGTCAGAAGAGGAGTAGCAGTTTAATTTGAAAATGGTTACTGCCTAGATCAGCAAGGGAACACTCAGCTCCCTTCCAAATATCAAGGCTGGGCAAATCTTTAGAGAAGGGACAGACCCCAGGAGTCTGGGTGCAGACAGGCAGAGCCCATGGATGTCAGAGATCCGGAAGCTCTGAAATGGCCTTCTGCCAGAAGGCTGTGTCCCTGTAGAGGGGACCCCTGCCTGCAGATGGCAGTGCAGGTCTGGGCAGCCGCCGTGCGGGTGGGTGGGGCAGCCCCTGTCGCTGAACCTTCCTCTTGTACCTCCAGGGGCTGGGGCTGCCCATGGTGGGACTTCGGACCGCCTGGAGTTCACGTTTGGTCTTCTCCAGGCTTAGAGTTGCCAGATAAAATATAAGATGCTCAGTGAAATTTGAATTTCAGAAAAACACTGACTACTTTTTTGGGTATAAATATATCCCAAATATGATTAAATTTTTTTTTGTGGTTGTTCATTTGAAATGCAAACTTAACTGGGTGTCTTGTATTTTTTTTGCTAAATCTGGCCAACTTCTCCATGTCGATGGTGAGTTTTTAAGTGGAGAAAGTTGCATTCTTTTGTTACACAAATATTTATTGATTGTCAGTTATGTGGCAGAAACAATCCTAAGGCTGAGGGATATATCAGGGAAAAGATAAACAAGGTCTTTGTCCTCATGGAGCTAACTTTACGGTGTGTGTGTTTGGGGGTGACATGGGAAAAACAAAGAACAAATGTGAATAAATCCAATGATTTTAAAGAGTGATGTGAGGGAAAATAAGACAGAGATGTAACTGAAGGTGACTCTGGGTGGGTGACTACTTTACTTGGAATGGCCAGGGAAAGCCTGTCTGAGCTGAGAGTTGTGAGAAACTGGGACCAGGGTTTCAGACAGCTAAAGAAGTGAGGCCGACAGAGGACCAGAAGGAAGGCCACTGCAGCGGAGGGGAGTGAGAGAGGGAGGAGAGGATGTGTAGGGAGGCTGCACAGGATGCAGGGATCAGACCATCTGCAGGCTGTTGTGGGCCCAGGAATGGAGGCCCAGATGGCACCATCTGATTTACATTTCATAAAGACCTGGAAAAAAGATTGTCTAGTGACAGAAGCAGAAGCAAGGGGACCAGTCAAGGGGTTATTTCAGTGGTCTTGACAAGGGATGGTAGTGTTTGGGAGATGAGAGAAGTGGATGGACTGGAGATACAGAGGGTGCCAAAAATATGTCTACACATGTTAAGAAAGGAAAAAAACTGTATTGAAATTGTAATACTCAATATATACCAATAACAAAAGATGAATACAAGTCATGTGTATACATTTCTCTGGCACCCCTGGTATATTTCACGGTAGAAGTGACAGGACTTACAGATGAAATGGGGGAAAAGGAAACAAAGGAATTCCTAGACACACTCCTAGGTTTGGAGAAGTGAGGCAGGCAGTCTTCTACTTTTTTAGGGCAGTGCCTTCCAACTGTTGTCATGTCCTGACTTATGCAGAAAACATTTTTATGGCACGTGACTGGAAGGGCTGTCTGCAGTGACCACATGACCACTTTCTCAGCAAGCTTGGAACCCACTCATGGCAGTTCACCCATCAGGAAGCTCTGCATTGGGGGAGAATTTTCCAGCTGGAGCCAAGTGGTGCTGCAAAGGGCCTGAGGAGAGATGAAGTGCAGTGAGCGCTCTCAGGATCAGGGCACCTCCTCAAGCAGCAGAACAGATTTCTGAATTCAGAAATTTCTAGAATTCAGGGCTGGGACAGATTTTAGAATTGATCTCGTCCAAGCCTCTTCCCTCCATCTTTACACAGAGGTACTTGTTCATCTAGTCCATTCATTGAGTACTACCAATGTGCACAGCTGCGCTAGGTGCCATGTGACAGAGCTACTCCAAGTATGACCGCGGACTGGCACCCCAGTCTGTGACCTGAGGATACGGAAATGCAGGGTAGGCCGCTTTATTGCAACTTGATATCTCAGCATGTGATTGTTGGGCTTACGGTTGCTATTTCTGTCTTTTTTAAAAAAGTCATTTATTTTCATTTTGTTTTACCAAAGTACTAGTTCAAGATGGATTGAGAACCAAAATAACAATCACAACGTTTCCTTGGCTGAAAGTATTTGTTTCAGACAGAGTTAATTCATTCACGTGACTGCCAGGACTGCCTGCTTTCTCTCACCTCCATCTCCTTCCTGTCAGAAGCCCTAAATGGTCTCAGAGATTTCAGGACCCCAGTTTTATTCTATTTTATTCTATTTCCTGCTCTTACAGGAAAAGAAGATGATTCATATTGTGGGCTTTAGCCTTTTGTTTTTCTGTAAGTATGTTCATTTGGTGACATTCCTCTTGTTCTGTCACCCCATTTCTCTTTCTCTGACTTGCAAAGGCTCAGCCTCTTTCACACTTGGTGTTCCAGTTGTTCTCTGCATTTGACTTTCAACTCCTGCCCTTGCCCATCGAGCTCCCTCTGGGTGGGCTTGTGCAGGACCCAGTGGCTAGGGAGTGCAGGACTTCACTATTTCCTCATTTCTTTTCTTCACAGGCAACAGCATGCTGTGCGACAGATTGATACAGAGTTCCCCGGAGCAGACAGTGGCAAGTGGCAGAGATGTGACACTGATCTGCATTTACGACTCCCAATTCTCAGATCCAGATTTATACTGGTTCCGAATTAGGCCAGATCATTCCTTTCAATTTATCCTTTATAGGGATAGCACTCACGTTGTTAACGCGGATTTTACTCAGGGTCGGTTTTCCGTACAGCACAGTCAGACCCACAAATTCTTCCACTTGGTGATCTCTTTAGTGATGCCTGAAGACAGAGCTACTTACTATTGTGCCATGGGGGCCACGATTGAACGGACTCCATGGTGATGCAGGTGTCCAGGAAGTCTGTACACAACCCCCTGGGCACAGCCTGACAGAGCTATCTTTCAGGGCAGCTCATGTCCTGGGACATGGCATCCTTCTTTCCAGTCACTTGTGTTCCAGCCTGGCCTTTAGAGGTGCCCTAACATGTCTGCTGAATAATGAAATGCCTGTTACATCCAGGGAGCCCCCTAGCTTCAGATGGAGCACAGTACCTCCACACTTTTTACTCGATGTCCTCTTGCTACCTGAGTGCCTGTGGTAGGCAAAAGGACAGCTACGTGTCTGAGGGCTATCATCTTTGTGTGCCCAGCACCCAGATTGTGCCTGACACAGAGTACAGCTTGACAAGCATGTGCTGTGTGTGCAGTGAGGGTATCAGAGTGGTTCGGCTGAAGGGACAGTCTAAGGAGAGCTCATCAGAAGTGTCTTCGTTTGAGTCTCCATCATTTGTCCATTATTGTGAAATGCTCTATTTTCTTTTTAAGAATCAAATTGGACACAAAGTTTACTTAAAAAATTTTCCCCAATATACCTTTTCTTCCATGTCTTCTTGTGTAGCCCCCTTATTTCTCCTGGATGCTCTTTGACATCTCCATTTTACTTTCTTTATTTGGAGAAGATTTTCCTTTCATTGAAGAGCACTGAGATATTCCCAGAAAGTTGTCTGTGAATCCCAGAACCCCAGCTTCAAAGTCCCTGAGTTTAGTGCTCAATGGTGTCTCCAGGGGAGAGAATTACCTCCAGGGAAAACCAACTATGTGATGTCAAAATAGATGCACTGTCAGCCTGGGACTTGGTCCCTCCTTCCTCTACTTCTATTGAACTCTCCTCCATAAAACAACTATTAAAGTTATTACATGTAGCCTTAGAAATAGCAGAAGCCTCAGATATTATTTTATAGAAAATACACTGAAGCCCAAAGAGTTGAGAGACATCTCCAAGGTCAGATAGTTGGTTAATACCAGAGCCAGGATGCTGTGCTCTCCTAGGGCTCTCTTGCAGCTGCACCCCAGGAGGATTTATTGGTAGGTGGTTTGGACAGCAGTTATCTGGGCTTTAAAACAGGCAGGTGAGGGCCAGCCGAGTGGCTCAGTTGGTTAAGAGCTTGCTCAAGAGTGCAAGCTCCAAGCAACAGTGGTTCGATACCAGGCCCGAGCTGAGCTGCCGCTGAGCTGCCAACAGGTGGCAGGATGGCTCAGCTAAAAACAAAACAAAAAACAACAAAAAAAACAGGCGGGTGAAGAGTAGTCACTATAGAGAGGAACGGAAAGAACATGGGTGAGGGAGCCAAAGGCCACGGGAAAATGACTCAGCCTCTGAGGCTTCTGTTTTGTCTCCTACTATGTGTGTGTTACAATCTTTCGGAGACTCCCTCGGGCCTGCTGTGGGACTTAAATGAGATGCTGCACGTGAAAGCTCTGGAAAACTATAATCCACAAATAAGATAGACTCCAGACTTGAAGGTAGCCACAGCCCCGTTGGGCTCTTGTCTCCAATCTTTTCTGGATACCCCTTTTGGTGGAAGAAATTCATGGTCCTGTGATATGCTAGGATGTATTTTTCTGATGATCAAAGTGGGCCAGAGGGTGGCTCTTTCATATGCTAAATATATTTAGCTGAATTTTAAATCAATACCTTGTCCTTGTCTTGAGGATGAAGTGTGCTTTCATAGAGGAACTTTGGGTGGCACTCTTGATAATTTGTTTCTGCTCCCAGCAATATCCTTACCTCAGTGGATGACTTTGGACAAGGTACATACTTTTTTGGGGGAGCACATTTTTTTTTCCATCTAAAAATGGAGGATGTGATTTTTTTTTTTTCTTAGCAGCTATAGAGAAACATTCTAACGTGACCCAAGGCAACAGATGTGAATGTTTTGGAAACAGGCATTTTTTTCACATATCAGGTGAAGTTGTGTGGAATCTATTCGTGGTTTTCCCCTGGATGGACCTGGCGTATCCACCTAGATTGTCTTAAACCTATTGACTCAGAGTGCTACTGCCTCCTTTCTTTGATTTGGGCTGTGAGGACATGATGTGGGAGTTTGCAGATGGCAATGGCAGGGGCGTTGTTGGTGAGGGTTGCTCCTTCACTTGTAATCTCACTTGACATCCCATGTAGTTGCTGAGGAAACCACAATACTGGGTTACTAGGGCTCTGCTACGTGAGTGGGTGCACCTGGAAACAGCTGTGGACTTGCTGGGGTCAGAGTGGCAGAGCTCATGGGCCACACCGGGGCTGCTGCTGTTGTTATTGCTGTAGCAGTAGCACCAACAGCAGGAAACCCGGGGCTGGGTCCCTGAGGCAGAAACCTGGAGGCTGGGGGCTCAGGAAGCTGTGGTATGACCTATAAGCTCAGTTTGGCTTTTGTCTGACTAATAGTGCATTCGTGGCACCCACATTTCCCCTGTGGTGGTCGCCATGAGTAAAGCCAGAGATAAGTCACACGCAATACACTTTAATAAATGCCACAGAGACAGCATCAGGGAAGAATGGCAGAAAACCATCAACACCAAGTGCCAGGCGACAGTCAGTGTCCAGTGACCTCCAGCTCCCCGTGCACAGATTGGCAGGCAAGGATAGTTAAGATACTGTTTTTACAGGGGAAATCTAGGGCTCTCATTCCTATCCCTTTCCAAAAACACTTGTACAGTGAATTGCTTGAAAGCAAGGCCTCTGTCTTACTCATTTTTGCATCCTAAGCAAAGTACCTGGAACTCAGAGGGAGTCAATTCATGTCTGTTAAATCAATTAATAGAAGTACATTTCCTCTGTATTTCACTCTGATCTCTGCTAATAGCTTGGAGAGTATTTAGATAGATTTTAGAAACCCCTCTGCCTACCCAGTGTTTCTCAACCTTCCTAATGCTGTGACCCCTTAATACAGTTCCTCATGTTGTGGTGACCCCCAACCATAAAATTATTTTCGTTGCTACTCTATAACTGTACTTTTGCTACTGTTATGAATCGTAATGTAAATATCTTTTTGTTTTCCGATGGTCTTAGGCGACCCCTGTGAAAGTGTCGTTCGACCCCCAAAGGGGTTGTGACCCACAGGTTGAGAACCGCTGGACACGATGAGTGTTAGGGATGTCAAATCTAATTTTGTTTGTAAAACAGTAGGAAGAGCAAAAAGTGCTTTTGTGGTTGAGATGCTAGTTTGGGGCAAATCTAGTGGTGGGTTGAGCAGAACCTTTCATGTTTAGGTAAAGGAGTCCTGCTCTCCTTCCCCTGGGGTCTGCTTTCCTCTTGGAGAATGGAGCTGGTAACCTGTTGGCTCCCACTTTCTACTTCTGAAGGCAAAGAAAGTCAGAGGAACAAAACACCATTTTCAAAGTGTATCAATAAAAAAAATGAGCCTTTTATCCCTTTGTATTTCTATATTCATTTATAAAGCAGCATATAAAGCACTTAGGACCAAAAACCCCTACCCCCAGGACTTTTGTCTTTCCATCAGGCTGGAGAACAAACCGGGTTTGTTGCCTTCAAAGAAAAACTGGTTTGGGTAGCAGCAATTTAAGCAAGGCTGTGGTGGATCAACTTGAATCACCGAGAAGTCAGAAGCCTAAAAGATAGCACCTCTGTAGGCTTTTGGTTTATTTCAGGGAGTGTAGCCTTCTTATGTCAGTCAGCCTGTGAGTGGAGGAAAATTGTCAGAGTTGTTACAGAAGCATAGATCATCAGTGCTGGAAGGAATTGTAGTGGTATGTAGTTTGGGGATGGCCAGTACTTGTTGTGGCTGTACCACTGCAGACATCACTATCTATCACGGCACATTTCCCTTCTACACCTAGTCATTATCAGTGTATCAATGTTGGCACAAGTCATGAAACCCTCTTGCTTTCCTTTAGTCATTTGTAACTTTTGTTTTACAAATACAAAAACCCAGGCCCAGAGAGGTGAAGCAACCTGGCTGAGGTAGCATAGTGAGCTAGTGACAAAGTCAGGACTAAAACCCAGGTCTTCTGATTCCTAATGTAGCCATATGGCCTGTGTCCTTAGGACTGTTGGTAAAGAGTCGCCTCTTTGGGAATGACTGGCTATGCTTGTAAGCTGGGTTGGATCAGTCCAACACTCCAAGTCTAGGATTGTTTATAGATCAGGAGCTGGGACTGAGAAGTATTTGGGGGTACTGGAGAAGGAGCTTCATAGGCAAGCCTAGACCTTGCTTCGAATTTCATATCTAAGTTTACCTGAAGAGGGAATGCAAGTAACAGACAAATAATTAATGTCTCAGCTTTGACTTTATATGTATTCTGAGTAGCTAGCAGTGGGCTGTTAATGACTAATGGGAGAAGAGGCTCACCCCAAAGATAGTCTGATCTACACATTGAAGTCCTATGGTTAAAGATTGGGAGCTGGGGACCGGCCGAGTGGCGCGATGGTTAAGAACTGGCTTGGGATGCCAGAGGGTCCCGGTTTGGATCCCACATATGAGGGCAGTGACACTGCCCTCTACAGCTAAGATGCTGAACAACAGCTCAACCTGGAGCTGGGCTGCCGTGAGTCGCCGGCGACAGTGTAGGCTGCAGCCCCTGCTGCAGTGGGTTGCCATGGGCTACCGTGAGCGGCCAGCAGCCGCAGTGAGCGGCCATCCAGAAGCCAGAGACTGATCTGCCTCGCCTGGGAAGAGCGCAATGATGGTGCCAACTTGGGCCAGTGAAGCAACGTCCTCCACAACTAGACTGAAGACCAAAACGACAGCAACTTGTCTGTTCCCCTTCCCCAATTCCCCAGTGCTGTTCCCCTCCTCCCAATTCCCCAATAAAATCTTTAAAAAAAAAAAAAAGATTGGGAGCTGGCATCCCTTTTGTCTGGGCAAAATCAGATTCTCCTCCTCCTGAATATTCTTTAGGTCAGGCTTTAGTGATGGCCTTGCAAATAACCCATCACCGCTTGGCCAGATAAACAAAATAGCAAATGAAGAAGACTAATTCTCCTTATTAAGCTCCAATTTTTAAGCTTCTGGGTTGCAGGCAGGCAGGGGTTATTGGCTGTTATTACATTATACTACATATGGATTTGAGTTTGGCTTGAAATAAAAGGATAATGGGATGGGGTGTTGTTATGCTGAGTATCTGAGATGACCTGACTTATTAACACATTGAGGACAGGGCATTTAAATTGTTTAAATGCATGTTCCTGGGTTTTAAACCATTGAAATAAACTTTAATACTGTGTTTCTTTAAAAATTTATAACAAATTCGCTAACTATTTTTGTGAACTGAAATTTTCAGGAAATACTCACCAAAGACCCTAGTAGTGCTTGAGGGTGTGATACCTCTGGAAACATTCCCCCTTAATGTATACATGCAAATCTGCATTACCGGTCCTCAATGTGTTAATTTGAAAGATGTCTCTATGTGTTTTTCACTTCCCAATGCTTCTTGGTCTTTTACCATTTCCAAACTCATTTTCCCCATGTGCAGCATAGTTTGGGTGGAGGTAGGAATAAGAAGCTGCTAATTCTTACCTTAAAAGAAAAATAACTTGGCAGTCAAGAGAAAATTGACGGCAACACTCTTGGCCAATAGCATTCGGAGCCCCAGCACTGTGAGGGACATCATGTTCAACTTCCCAGCATGCACTGTGGTTGAACAAGAGTGAAGATGGTGGCTCCCATGAGAGACAACATTCCCTTCCAGGAACTGGGCCCACAACACTGACACCAGCCTGCGCCAAATCACCATTATTCTTTCTGGTTTGCAAGCGCAACTTTTTGCAGGACAGCCCTTGGTGAGCAAAGGCTGCTGCTTACATCCAGCCCGGCAAGCTTTGGAAACCCATGCTTACAGCCCAAGCTCTCCTGGGAGAATCAGAGAGAACCAACTGGGGTCAGGTCTGGTTATTGTTTTCTTTTGAAATTTGATGATTTTTGGTCCCATTTGACATTTACAGAGTTTGCTTTAACTCTCAATTGTCAAGTTGGCCCTTTGATTTCAACTAACCTTTGAGTTCAGGGCAGCTCTCTGAAGTTTGCTGTATGTTTTCAGTTTTCACTGGTGGTTTTAGATTATCTGGAACAAACAACAGTGGTCAGGCTTACATTGGCAACCAAGAGGCTCAAAATATTTCGGGTGTTAAAATGGGAAAAGACTTTAAGTAAGTAAACTGAAGATCAGAGACTTGGTTAAGGTCATGCAGCACATCTTGGCAAATAGCAGCACAGCTATTTGCACAGCCAACATACCTGCCATCACAGATTTTTTTTTTAATACTATGAAGCTAACATCCAGGCATGCCTCTAATTTGTAGGAAGAATTAGGGTTCTTAACCCATGAGGGGCTAGGCTGCTTTTTGCTTTACTCTTCACACTAGGTTAGACTGCACATGGATTTTCAACCCCAGAGCCTACTAGTAGGATAGTCATTAGTATGAAGGAGACAGTTGTTGGTAAAGAGGAAAGATGGGGATGAAATAAGATGAACTCTGTCTTACATTCCAGCTCAGAAATGCAGAAAGTTCAATTCTCAGTCAATGATGGTTGACTTAAGCTATAGTTGGGCTTAAGTCTTGTTTCCAGCATGATGCCATATTGAGAGCCATCTGTCAAGAGTTTACATCTCCAGCTCTTTACCCCAACTTTTCCTCCCCACAATCTCAGCCCGTTGAGGTCAGATACGACATACCTGAAGAGTTCATTCTCGCTTCAAAGTTGGTGGAGTACAAGATTTCATTGTTGTGTTGAACTGAACATGTCACTGAATTAGAATCGTTGTATTTACCAAGCTTGACAGCACTGTACTTCCCACTGGGAGAAACGACGATAGCAGGGTCAAATTCTATTATTTTCTTGGATGACTGAAGTTGTATATTTACATCCTTGGGGTAGAAATCCTTCACCAGACAAGCAACACTTGTCTTATTTTTCATGATGAAAACGGATGGTTTGGCAGGAGGCTGACTTTCTGCAAATATGATCAATTTATTTTTTGAGATGATTATCCACAATATGTTGGATTAAACAATGGTGTTTACCTCAATTTCTCTGGGACCAAACACTACAACCTAGGCTTTCCTGCAACCTGTTAGTGACCTGGGATTGTTAGCAACTCCATGAAACGATTGCCAAGGGTAGCAGAAATGAAAGGCAGTCAGTTTGACTTTCAGTTAGGAACTGCTAAGAGATATGGCTGGAATCAGAGATGGAAAATAACAACTACAAGAATTTTCGGGATCATCTGAGTTTCAGTGACCTATGTTTTATTAATCAATCCTCTGGATAATCAAGGTCAGCCTGAATACCTGTCTGAATCAGTTTGCTTATTTTAAATGCATGGGCTTTTAGTGGGGGGGATCAGGGCAGGTGTTCGTGCTCTGCATTATGTCAATTAAAGAATCAAGGGTGTGAGAGGGACTACATAACTGGTTCAAACACTAAGAAGATGATAGTGTTGGGGTCGCTTCAGGGCGCCACCACCATTTTATGGACTGGAATGGATCTGCTGAAGTTAAGTGGCATATCTCTCTGCCTTTAGGCGAATACTTACTCTTTTGTAATACTCTACAGTTTTCTTTGAGCCTTTAATCAGAGAATAGCAACTATCATTCTCAAGAATGATATAAACATAAAACCAGTTTAAGTGCATTTTTCTTGTTTTATTCAAAGTGGGTCTATGGAATGTTGGTCCCAATAATTGGGCCTCCTCCTGGCCTTCCCCCTTTTCATGTCTTACTTTGAACTATCACCTCTCTGCTATCCTTTATATGCATCATTTTCTCCCATTGTGCCTTATTGAAGTTTCTGCATTATGATAAATTTTGTGTCTATGCAGTCTTGAACTCTTAGGCTATCTTAAAATAGCTGCTAAAGAAAGAGCCTTGCAAATGCTTGAAATCAGGAAAGACAACCAACCTGTGAATGACGACAATAGGGATATATTCCCAATCATAAGCTTAACTGATGATTTTTAATATCACTAGCTTGTGTGAATATGGCTCTTAGTAGTTAACACTTAGGTAAATTTGGATTCTTGGTATCAAATTAAAAATATGTTGAATTCCAGTGTATTTCTATTTACTATGATCCACAATCAAGACATAAGCTATTGCTAAACAAAAAGTCTTGGTAATGAATATGTAAATGGAGTGATTTTTCTAATGCTGTATCCTGAATCTGAATTTGGGCTTCAGCTGTGACGCTCATAGGAGTAGAGCTATAACCAAATCTATCAGTTATACCAGTTTGAGATGGAGTTATTGCTCATCAGAAAGTTCCTGCTGATCACTGCTTTGTAAATGGACCATGGCCGATCAGGGCTTTCCTAGAGAATCAGCTGTTTCGATAACCCCCCTGTCCCCCTCTGTGTCCCCTCTCTCCTCCATCACTACCATCAAAATTCTTATTTTTCTCTCTTCTGGGAAGCTCAGCTAAAAGACTGGATTCTGTTCCAGTCACTCAGAGCAGGAAACTCATTGTTAAGAATCTGATTCCTTATGTTTTTGGCTTTGGCTCTAAATAAGAAGGAGATTAGGGATTTTTTCAAAGGGCTCTCTCGGAACCGGCTTTAAACCTATGTGAGAAAACCTTCATTGTTTTGTTTCCTGGCATAGCTGAAGCCACTGATAACAGACACTGATAATTCTAGCAGTAACGGTTTAGAAACCACATGTTCTGTCCCTTCAGAACTGTGACATTTCTTGCTCATGGTGCTGACTTTGGTTTGAGATGTATTCTGGTTGATTTTCAAGGGAGTTACAAGTTGCAGAGAAAGGAAACTCATCCATTAAAAAACAAAAAACAAAACAACACTATCTCCTTACTTAAGAGTATGGCCCAATCCTGGTCTGATTTAGTTGGCTAATTAAGGCTTGCTTGGGCTTTAAAATCCATATTTAAAGGCAATGGTCAATGATCACTTTGGAATGGAGAGACCTGGTTTGAATAATTTGAACAATGTACTATAGCTGACAACACAGATGTCTGAAGAAAGTCATACACTCATGATATTGAGCTCTGAATCTGTTAGTCAGCATTTCAAATAGAGCACAGTGTATTGATTTGGTAAAACAATTTTCTCAGACTCTCTTTTTCAATGTCTATATGTTCAAAACAATTGTTTGAAAGAAAAGTGTTTTATCTAATTCATTCTGTGGCATCATGGTTACCAAATAAAAGGCTAGCTGACTGAACTGAGCTTTTTAAAAAAATGGAATGCATTCAGTATAGTTGCCATATGTAACCTAGTCTATTTTATATTGGACCTAAACCAAAATTTGAAATTGTATAATATTTTCACTATTGTAGTTCAAAATTTAAATTAAGATTTAATTGATTGTTTATCTTTTGAGAATTTCCAGTCTTTCTTCTTGGTCCGCAAATGTAATTACATTTCAACACATGTTTCCAAGTGTTATTTGTTTGGACAATTGTTATTTTATTTTCAGACTTTCTTTCTTTGTGAGTATCAACCCAATACTAAGGTTATATGCTGGTAAACAATACAAAAAATAGTGTGTACCTTTCCTGAATAGTCTTTCTGAATTTATAAACTTAGAAATCATCTAGCATTTAGATTCACATAGAGAGTCCTATAGGTTCCCTAAGAATTGCAACATCTATAACAAATGTCAGTCATCATTTTAAGGCTCTCTGCCAATATGGGATTTAACTTGAACACTAAACTATGTTTGCTCTACCTGATTACTCCGACCAGGTTAACCACCTCTCTCTTAAATCTTCCAGGCTGCAGGATATTAGTTTTCAGGTTGCAATGAGGCTTGCACACTAATCACCTTAGCCAAAGGGATGTGTAAGGATAAAGTAACTTCCTGGGGAATTTAGGCCAAAGTGTCTCTGCCACCGTTCCTCCTGCATCTATATGCACCAACTATTAGTATAATTCTTCTACATTTCTTTGTGCTTTCTGGGCTGCTCTGAAGATTTCAGAAGTAAGCAGGAGCTATAGTTTTAATATGTGTTTTTTAAAAATTAAAATAGTTGCAGAACTACTTCAATGATTCAGCCTAGTGTCTCTACTCTGGCCCAGTCCATATCTCCTAGGTATACTTTCTTAAATAATGCAAACTGGATGGCAGCTCCAGTTCTAAGACTCAATTTATCCATTGAAATATAGGGGGGGAAAATCAACTCACGGGGCTCCACGAAGAGTTTGGTGCCAGCTCCAAAAAACATCTGCCGGGTGTCCCAGGAGCACATTGCAACACTGCTTCACAGGTAACCAGCCTGGGGCTGGCCCTGGGGCCTGGGCTAGAACATCTGTGCCCTGACTCCCCAGCCTGGATCCCAGCCAAAGACCCCACAGCTCAGAGAAATACAAAGCTGCCCTTGATGAGCTCGGGGAGGTGTGGGGGTAAGTGCACAGTCTCAGTTCTCTTTGAAGATAATAATAGTTTAACTGATGGATAAGGATGTGAGCATGAAATCCTCAACTGAGAAGCACTGGGACAGGGGACAGAGCTGGGACAGAGCAAGAGAAGGGTGACAGGTGACCGATAGCTGCCTTTAAGATAGAAAACTTAACTCCCAGTTTATTGGGAGGCGTCTCTAAGAAGAACACAATAGTGTGGGAGTAGGGATGGGACACTGAATGTTGACATGTGTTATAATGAATGTTAGGATGAGGAGAGCTTAGACACAGGTCTTGTTCTCATACTCTGGTTCCTTTCTCTTGGGTCACAAATACTGCTTTTTGATTAGAAACCTAATTTCTTCCCCATCACTCAGACTGAGTCTCACAATAATAACAAATCTGCTTTTTAATTTTCTGAGCCCAGTGGAAGGCTTTCTAAGGACTTGATGGTTGAACAAGAGATTGGCAGCCGACAGGGGAGCCCAGGGGTGCTGTGTGTCATGAATGCAGGTCACAGGAGCCAGCGCCTGCTTTGGATTGATTATTTTTGTTTTATAATTTCTCCTGACTGTGGATCCAGATACAAGCTTCAGGGGGATATAGTAATCATGTGAAAATGAACTTAAGACCCGATGGATTTCTCTGTCTCATCCAAAAACCAAGAGTCCAGGGCTAGAGCCAAAGGGAATGACAGTTGCATAGGGCCATTATTTGCTGTCAAAACTTTAAGGATTGGTGGCTTGATTTGAAATTCTCACTCCCTCTACCTGAGCTTCACATCATCGTATTACACTCCATTACTGCAAGAAGAGAAAACCAGACAAGTAAATGAAGTATCGTTGGAGAGCACGGTCAGCATCCCGGCTGAGGGGCTAAGCATCAGTTTCATCTCTTTCCTTCTTCCCTAAAACTCCCAAAGGCACAGCTTCAGAGATTTGATTCTAACACTGCAGATAATTCTGAATTTCAAGTGGAAATGATTTAAAGGGAAAATGAAACATAATGCTTTTTACTCAGATCCAATTTGCCCAACACCAATCAGATTGCAATCAGCGACAACCTAATTCTGTTTCTCTCCTTCTTTTCAGTGCTTTAGTCTCTCCTCTCAAAGATAAGAAAACTCACCAAATTCCATGATTTCCCTAGAAGCAAAAGGCAATCAAGCACTCCTGTAAGTTCATATTACCCCCTGAGAGGCAGTGACCCTGTTGACACTAGCAGTCGCTTTTAGGGCTGTCAACGCCCCTACATTCATGTACCTTTCCTCACCTCTTTAGTTCCTTGGAATAGAAAAACAAAACAAAATCTAGCCATATAAGCAGCCATGCTTGCCCCAGTGGACTTGGCATTTTGGAAAGCTTTTGAAAGACTGTTGTTTTCTGGACTGGTTCCGGTGACTGACTGTTGGCAGTTACCCCAACTACCTGAATATAGCCCCTGGATTTCCAAACACCGGAACAGACTGTCAGTGGACAATGTCTCCAGGAGAGCTCCGTTACTTCTTTATTGTCTTGAAGTTGGTGGCTGTGTTTCTTTCTCTATTGGATGTAGGCTCCTGAACCCTCTACAGAGCCCTCAGATTCAGGGTTAACAGGGGAGGTGAGCACATAACTGCTCTCAGCAGACCAAGACTAGTATGGGACCTTGAGGATCATTTAGTTTGAGCCAGGCATGTTGATTTAATGCAAGTTCTCAGCAAAAAAGAGACAAGGGCAAGATTGGCTTTCGTCTTTTGAGGGAGAGAAGATTCTCTTGATCTAACTCCTTCTTTAATAATATTTTTCTAACCCTCCCATGAGTCATGGCCATGACTCTTTTTCCTCATAAATAATGGAAAGACTCTCCTCATCTAGGGCTTGCCTTTTCTCTGGTCCCAGTCCCTGACCAGGGGGGCACACTAAGGGCTTTAGTTAGGCAGTTGTGGAAGACTTGTTAATACTAATCCTCAGAACAGGGTTTCCAAGCATACACAGAATATTTTCTTAAGAGAAACCGAATGAATTTGTCCTTAAATTTTATCCCAACTGTTTGCAACTACAATAACAAAAAACTCCAGTGTATTTCCAATTTAGAACCTTCCAAATTCTCAAGAAGCTCCATTCATTCAGGACTATACCACAATTCCAAGGGATATACAGACTGAAGTAAAATGCATAACTTACTTGCTTCCACGATGAGTTGAGTTCCTCTTCCAAAGATGAGTTGTGCTACCGAAGCACCACTTCAGGCATCATTACAAAAACACCTTGCTACCTATTTGCCCCCTGTCTGGTCCATCTGTTTTGGAAGGGGGTGGGTGGAACAGAACAAGTGTGGCTGGATACATAGAGCTTTGCAAGCGTTTCTGAGATCTAAGCGTTATATTTTGACAGCTTGTTTGATGTGTGTTGTCTTCTGAAAGTTAACACTTAGGGAAGTTCCTAAGTTTTCTGCTTTTATTTCCTCAACATGTCATTTCATACCTCCAGATCTTGCTTCAGGATCACATTTTCACAGGGAGCAAGGAATTCTTTTGGTTTTGCTGAGATTTGCCAAATGGCAATTGTCAGCAGAAACATAACTTAAAGCTTAAGTCAACCACAAAGGATTATGCCTCAGTCAGAGGTAGAAGGACATGATGACTGGAGCAAAAGCCACTGGTGCAAAAGACCTGGAGTCTATCCAAAGGATCATAATAATCATAGATGACTACCATTTGTATAAGTACTTTACTACTTATACACAACTTGTGTTTACACTGCCTCAACAAACATTATTATAACAAACTTAGGAGGTGATATTATTAGATCCATCTTACAGATGAAGTCACTGAAGCTGAGTGGTTAAGATAGTGAGTGGCTGAACTGGGTCTTACTCTCAGGTCTGCAGGGTTCAGTTTCCATCCACTGAACCAGAATAATAGATGATAGAACTGAAAGGAGCCTCAGTGATCACTTGTCAAAACCTCTGTGGCAGCACAAGGATACAGGGAGAGTTTTGACTCCTTTTCCAGTGCCTTTTTTATTAAATTGCAGAATTCCTACTGGGTGATAAGATGTTTATACCATGGGGCTTCCTTGGTTTTCCTACTAAATTGTTCCTAGGAATTGGTCTGGGTGACAATCAGGATGATAGTGTGCTAAAGCTGGAAGACACCTTGGAAATCATTCGGTCTAGATAGAGAGAAACTAGAGTTCAGTGAAGTCATGCAGCTTGTCAGCCAAAGGGAAGGATTAGAACTTGATCTTCGAATTCTTGGTCTAACATGCACGTCATTATGCCTCACATTTACTAGATAGAGTACAGGTTGGTCATGGCCTAGATCTGTAAATGGCGAAGGCACTGGTATTCAGTAAGCTGGTTCTCTAACATTAGTTAAGTAGAAGGAAGGTGGCAAAGATGCTCTACGAAGGATAGTAATTCAGTAGATCCACTGCAGCACACACCTCAACCTGGATTTTATCAGAAACCCAGTCCCTCCCTGTTCCTCAGACCATCCCTTGTTGCTAAAGTACATGCTGGAAGGATTTTTTTCAACAACCTGAAAAGTGTTTCCCAAGCTGGGAAAATATTTAACAAAGATAATTGCCAAACATAGTGGTCATAATAAGAAAAAATGAATCACTTACTTGGTTCTACGGTCAGGTAGGTTCCTTTGCCAAAGATCAGCCATTCTCCACAGCTGATAAACCTAATCTAAAAACCTCTTGCTTTCTCTTTTTGGCAACCCCGGCCCCAGTTGCCAAGTCATGTGATAGGCATTGGATGGGATTTTCTGTCACATCTGGTGTAATTTATTTTCTCCTAAGCCTTGGGGGCTGTCCTTCAGGACAAAATAGGAGGTGATTACTGTGTCGAGTAGAAATCTAAGCTTTTGCCATGTTACGATCTGAATTTGTGCTCTGAATGAGAGACTGGAAAGGAGTTTCTTAGTTT